ACATGTAGGTAAGAAGAGACTTACCTTTAAATCACCTATTTGGAACAATTTTGGGGGGCACCTAGCAGAATAATTTTTATTTTGGAATTCAGGATATTCTATAAGTTTCCTCCTAAACTCACCTCCACTATTAGCACCATTCATTACAGCTTGACATACAATATTGCCCGACTCACAAAATTCTTGCTTTCACCTGCACTCACCATAACCTAGATGATACAAATTCATGCTTTCAAATTTTCAATATTTAGTTCCTTCCTTCATAGTTAAGGCTGTGCCATAGATATTGACATTTTCTGTCTATCATAAATTTGGTAAATTGAGATTTCCAAGTCATCTTTTCATAGCAATAGCATTTGGACTTATATACTACCCCATAGTGCTTGACAGCACTGTCTGGGCAGTTTATAATGTAAGCATTATTTGCATATTGCCACCAACAATCTGGGTCCTGATGTTACCAACCTTGGAAGGATGGAAGGATGGGTCAACTTCAAGCCTTATCAGAATTGAACTCTTGGCTGTAGGGGAAGTTTGCCCGCAATGCTGAACTTTAATCACTGTGTCATCAGAGTTCCTTCATCGGGTAGGGAAGACTTTGATTAGGTTTCCTATGCCACAAACAGCATTCCCTGGTAATAGGAAAGACAATGCAATTCAGAGAAACAACCTAGCACTAAAGTGAAAATTCCTAACAGTAATAACAATTAACCAATGGAACAAATTGCCTTCAGAAATTGTGGATGGCCCAACATTGGAAGCTTTTAAAGAGACTGGAATAGCAACAGCACTTAGACTTATATACTGCTTCATAGTGCTTTACAGCCCTCTCTAAACTGTTTACAGAGTCAACATATTGCCCCCAACAATCTAGGACCTCATTTTACCAACCTTGGAAGGATGGAAGCCTGCACCAGTGAGACTTGAATTGCTGAATTGCTGGCAGTTGGCAATCAGCAGAATTAGCTTGCAATAGTGCATTCCAACCACTGCACTATCACTATTAGAAATAGTATAGGCCTTCTGCGAAAGTTGGACTACCATATGACCTCCAAAGTCCCTTCAATTCTGTTACTGTTACAGTTTTGGACATGGTAACTACAAACAAGTCACCACCATATGTTTCCAGCTGGATTGGTAGTGCCTGCCATGACCTGACTCACACCTTGCCTTTCTTTTTCTGCCTATGTGGCAGTTCTTTTTCATTATACCCTTTTCTCTGATGATTTTTCAATTTTTTTTAGGACTGCACAGCTAACACATATGAAATTCCCATCCTCAACAGTTGCTTCTGAAGGGAGAGATGCCATTTTTAAATGCAGGATCATTAAATTATTATTTAATTCTGTTATTTTTTATTTAATGAATGAAACTCATGTTTAATATTTTAGAAGTTGCTGTGCACGGCAAGATATCCCTACTACATACCCTGAAGCAAAAAGAAGAAGAAAGAACTGAGTATAGTACTTGGCACATGCTGAAACATATACTACAAGCATGACTTGAATATTAAATGTTTTAAAAGAAAGAGCACTCCTTCCTTACTATGAATATCTCTAGACAGCATTTTCAACAAACACCTTAATCTGAAAATTAGAATAGCAGCTTTCTTTTACTCTCCATGCCTAAATCAATCCACCCTTCTCCTCCCAGTCTTTGAATTTTCATTTTATTTTCAAGTGTATTTACATAATTACATCCTCAAAATTAGGATCAAAAAGAGAACCACCCTCTCTTCATTCATTTACATGGAATGAATAGAAAATCAATCATTGCAATACCATAATATAAAGCAAAGAGGTAAAAGTTCCCTGAACCAGATCTTTAAAACTTCAGCACAAGGAAAAGAAATAAACTTTAGGTCATTCCAGGGGCGGGCTGCTGGGAGTTTGCAGGGGTTCTAGCTAAGATTCTGCACAATTCGGAGAATCCCCAAATCCCACTCCCACACAGCCCATTTTGGATGCAGGTACATGCAGGGTGTGCAGGGAGGCTCGGGAAGGCTGAAAAACGGGCCTCCTGGAAGTTTGAGAAGGCCGTAAATGGGCCCATTTCTGGCTACCAGAGAGCCTCTGGAGTCTGGGGAAGGCAAAAACACCCACCCACACCATGGTGCAGGAGGCCAATTAGGGCACGGCCACTACGGTCATGCCCACCCAGTGACCGGGCAGAGAACCCATTGCTAAAATTTTTGAAGCCCATCCCTGGGTCATTCTAACCTCCTCAAAGAATAAACTTCCTTATTTTCTTTTGACCGTGCAAGCCAATGGTCCACATTTACTTTTTCTGGGAGTGTAGGAAGTTAGCATCCATCCCTCTCCTAGAAAATTGAAATATCCTAGGAAATATTAAAAAGGCAGACTATTTCCCCTAAAAAGAGTAGAAACTCAGAAGCAGAAACTCACCCGCTTTGTTAATGGGTGGGCCATTAAGGCCTGGGCCAGAATATTTTACATAACAAAATTCTCCAGATAAAGCTATAGCAATTGCCCAAAGTCCTTTTCATTGCATCATCATCCAACAAGGCTCAACCAAGCCTGGAACTCAGGACAGCCTACAGAGTTGCCCCTGCATGGCCCCATAGGAGTCTGGCAACCAATCAACATACAAGCTCAAATTCAAATCTCAACAGAGGGTATAAAACCAGGCACTTTCAGCCTTCTTCCTTCTCTTTTCCCTCACCTTGAAGCATGTGATCATCTTCCTTTGGAGCTCCAAGCCATGTGGTCCTGTCCACTATTAAACATCTTTTCAAACAGCCCCATGTTTCCATTGTCTTTTTCCCCACTTGGAACTGAACCCAGAAGGATAATTCTTCCAACAAGAAGAAAAGCATTATAGATTTGTAGACATTTCAAACTATGTGATTAAACATATGGGAATATTTTAAATCTGAGCATGCACTGTACCGATATACTTTCCCTACTGGTTTGAGCGCTGATATAGTCCATACAACAGATATCCATGTTTCTCTCTTGTTTGGAAAAAGATAACAAAAGACTTCTCAGAATGTCACACTAGGCTTTTATTTACAAATGTACAGACTGAACATTCAAATTGTACAGATTTAACAGAAAACTAAAGTACAGTACCCTGCATTCGATTTTAAGGCAGATTCTTACAGAATTCCCAAACTCAACATTCCACATCTCTTTCTCTGCCTTTGTATACATTCTCTCATCTCACACACAAAGTTATGTGCATTATCTTTAGGGATATCCTTGGGAGGGGAACATTGCATATCGTAGGTTAGTTTAATCCTTTACTCCTAATCAGAGGCTTCTCAAAATGGCCTTCAAATGATTCAACCTTGAATTGGAACCCTGACAATCGCCTAATTGTAACAAAGAGTTGTCTAAGTACCCAGTTCCCAAGTCAACCAATCACTTGTACTTTATGAAATATTAGAGTGTAACCAGGTAGACTTTGACAACAGGTATGAACAGTTTTTAAGTATTCTTTTTTTCTGAATTATTGGTCCTCTCTTGCAATTTTGTACCTAAATCAAAAAAGGTTTCTTATTGCAGCTTCACAGGAAAGGGAAAATATCACAATTCTCTGTCCTCTGTATTATAATTTACGGTATCCTAAGGAGATTTAATCAGGCCTCAATTCCACTACATTCTATAAGATTTATTGTTTTTGTTATGTGCATACCTTCAAGTCAGTATTGACTCCTAGTAACTGCCTGGAAAGGTCCCTCCAGGTTGTTTGGGAAGGTTTTCAAACATGGTTTATTGTTGCCTGCTTCCTAGAGCTGAGAAGCAATGACTGGCCCCAGGTTACCTGACAGGTTTCATCAGGCGTGGGATTCAAATTTCTTAACAACTGGTTCTGCAGGTGTGGTGTAATTTGTGGGTGTGGCTTGGTAGTCATGTGATTAGATGGGCATAGCTTGCTGACTGGGCATGGCTTGGGGGTCATATGACTGGATGGGCATGGCTTGTATGTAAATATTATAAATATTTATGTAAACATTGATTATTTTATAAAAAAAGAGCAACTTTTACCCAAAAGCAGGCAAAGCAGGCAGGCGGATTGAATTGCTCACAGAATCACAGATTCACTTAGAGGTCTATCTATCCGCAATCGGCTATCTGAGTCTGTCACATAAAATTTTCTTGCAAACAAACTCACAAAATTAACTCACAACACACCATGTATGTAAATATTGATATATATTTTTT